TTAAAAGTAACTAAATAAAATTTAAAAAAAGAAATACAAAAAAAAGATACTGACTCTCAGAATAAATATGATCATAGCACCCAGTCTATGTCAGAAATGAGTGCAAGTTCACATTTATTTAATTCAAAAACATGAGTATTTTTCTACCCTAAGCCTAGAATACTTGTCATATTGCACAGACAGATACTTTTGTCATTGCTCTGCAAGAAAGAGTAGAAAAATGAATTGATTTAAAAAAGACTACCTTATAAATCTTAAGTGCCAACAGTTACAAACAGGTGACAGACACTGCATGTCTGTGGAAGTACACTGCTTTCATGTTGATTTAAAATAAGTGAATTTAAAATAATTTATGTGTCTAAGTCATTTTGATTTGACATTAGTCAAATTAGTGCATGGTTAAAAAGAAGCAACATTAAAGCGGTAATATAGGAGTTAGGAGACATCATTTCTTTGCCTTAAATTAAATCTGGGATTTGGGATGAGTATTGTAATCTCTGCTGGACTCACTTTTCTCACCCTAGAATGAAGACATGCACCTAGCTAGCTGATTTCTAAGGTTTCTTTATATTGTGCTATTAGTGATTTTAAAACTGCCTGGGAAATGTTTTCTGCATGAAAATAAGAAGTCAATATGTTTATTTTCACTCTTCTTCTTTTAACAAGTTGTATCAAATGAGCATTCAAGCCTTGAGTTTGTTTAGTTGAAGTTCAGTTATAGGTATAGATAGAGTGAGGCTTTAAAATCGTTTTGACATTTGTAAATAGAATCTGGCACAAAAATTCCTAATTTATTCTTACTAAGAGTAAAATAATTTATGACTATTAAAGTATGAATTAAGTGTAAATTTAAATGTTTAATTAATTAAAACATCTAATTAAAGAAATATATGTATATTTTGTTAAAAGTCCATTGTACCCCTGGATCCAGAATATAATTTTAGTGGTTACTACAGTTTGGAAGGAAGAGGTTTTTTCAGGATATCCTCAGCCTATGTGAACATGCTGTTCTCGTATCTATATTTGGCACTTAACATGATCTAATATTACAAAAATGAAAGGGTTATTGTGAACTAAGACCTAGAATCATTGTGAGAATGGGACTCAATAATTTATTTCTGAAAAGTTTTGCAATAGAGTTCCAAATAATAAATGACATCTTGGAGAAACTGGCTTTTCTTCAGGAATTTTGTTATGTTAAACAAAGAAATCACTGCCAAAATAAATAAGGAATAATTCAGATACCTTTTTGTAGAGATTCCCAATGAAAATATTAATGTCCTATATATAGTTTCACAAGAAAACGATAAGCTATTTAAAAGGGTCAAGGACCATGTATGAAGGACACATGGACAAAGACAACAGGGTGGGGGTGGGAGGATTGAAAGTGGAAGGTGGGGGTAGGTAAGCAGGGGAGAATAATGGGGGGAAATGGGGACAACCATAATTGCACAACAATAAAAAGAATGCTTACTTATTCTGCTGACCTGTGATGCATCATGATTGACCAGCTAAATTATAAAGAATCCTACAATAATATGCCACCCAGCCTCAGAAATACTTTTGGAATCTTGCCAGGTGGCATTAGTATGATTACCTGTAGACCATATTTATTAAGTATAGAAAATCATTTTGAATGTACCTTAATTCTCTGACACAGTCAAAAGGTCACTTTGCCCAGCAACAAGTTATGATAAAATTTGATTAGCCAGTCATGCAGAATGAATATAATAAATTTTGGTTGTGATTATTTTGATTTTTTAAAAAGATTTTATTTATTTATTTTTAGAGAGAAGGAAAGGGAGGGAGAGGAACATCAATATGTGCTTGCCTCTCACTTGCCCCCTACTGGAGACCTGGACCACAACCCAGGCATGTGTCCTGACTAGGAATTGAACTGATGACCCTTTGATTCACAGACCAACACTCAATCCACTGAGCAACACCAGCCAGGGCAATTATTTAGAATTTTTTAATGTATTCATAGTGTTTCTTAATTGATCCTGTGTTTGTCCATGGCACACATGCTAGTGCAATTCTGGAAAATCATTTTACAATTTTTTTCTCATTCTCAAAGTAGATAGTTTATTTAAATACAAATTATCTAAATTACTTTCACTTCACTTAGAAATCATAGGTTTTATAACATTTAAGAAAATGTATTTGATGGTCAGAAATAAGACATTATTTCTCAGTCTCAGAGTTACTCCAAAGTTTTTTTCTTAATATTTACATTCTGATAGAAGAAAATACAATATTAAATGCACCAGGATGGACAAGTACTGGAATTTTTATTGGGCCCATTGGTTTTCCTCCCATGTGCCTATAACTCTGCAATTTTTATATAGCAGAATTGAAAATTATATTAGGAGAAGATATTCTTTAAATATGGCACCTGCATAGGGTGATGCTACAATTTCTAATATCAGCGTCTATTGTTAAAGAGTTTAAAGGACAGTTTTATAATTTTACTTAATAACTTTTCTTTCAAAGTGGTGCACAGCCTGGAGCAAAATAGCAAATTATCTAAAGCCAACAAACCAAGACATTGTACAGAGCTCACTGATTTGTTCTTGCCACTCTCACAAACAAGTTATGCTCAGCCATGTAAAAGAATGTAGCCAGTTCTCTTATGAAAACTGGTGAGGTGATATTATAATGTGATTTTTATTTTATTCTCAAATGTTTCTGTCTTGGACAAAGCAACTTCTATTAAATGAGATGGTTATGCCTGATCTGTCAGTTCATGCTTGATCAGGTTAACAAAATGTGATATGTGATTAAGTTAACAGAATGTGGTTGATTTTGTATTAATCGACTTTGTTGTCAAGTTGCACAATGTGTGGTACAGACCACACTAGCATAAAATAATAAAAACAAGAATGCTAGTTTACTCAGGAAAAAGGGTCTGTGTATTAGCACCAGCTAATGAAATATTATTTCCCATACCTTCACCACTCTCATTTCTTTAATATTATATATGGCAGACATCTACTTTAGATAACTGCAGAAACTAGATACATTTAGATATGCTTGAGACAAAACAAATTTACTATGAAGTATAGTTACAGCATTCATCACAGCTTAAAAAATTGCAAATAAGGAAGAAACCTTTCAATGTGAAAAATGGTATGTAATACAGAGGGAAAGATGTTATTTTTTAAGTATGAATTTAAGAGTTTCATTTCTTTCATTGAGATTCTACTATTAGATACTCTTAGGCCCTTCAGATACATCAGTGAAAAAAATGACAAAGATTTGGTGGAATTTTCCATTTAGTGATGGAAGACATACAGAAAAAATTAAAAATGATATATGAATAATTTGTAAGTTAGTAGAATAAAAGAAGTTCAAGAAAAACATGGAGTAGGAAAAGGAGGACAAGTTGAGAGACTAGGGGAAGATTTGACTTTGGACGGTGGGTATAATGCAATATACAGATGACTATCATAGACTTGTACATTTGAAACCTATATAATCTTATTAACCAATGTCACCACAATAATTTAATTATTATTTTTTTAATTTTAAAAACTTAAATAGGGTAGTCAGAGTCCTCTGATTCATTATATATTCTGGTATAATTTGAATGAAATTCACATCAGTTTTGCTCACATAAAAATCATACTCAGTTTGGTAAAACAAGTCAGTTGACTGCTATGCTGGCATTATTATATATTTCTATTAGTTTTCCTGACTTTGGATTTTTCCTAGGATATTTTTAAATTGCCTTAAGTGTGCTTTTATGAAATCTGTCCAATATCAACTGGCCAACTGGGACTTAAAAAATGTCCTGCAACCAACTTTTGAAACTTCCAGTAACATATCAGGCTTTTGCTTCTCTAAATAATGCAGACATTACTATGAGATGACTAAAATTTTACATATTAGCATTTTAGATCAGGACCTCGGTCAATACATTTTAATATCATATTTTTATTGATAATTGTAACCTGAGGGCACATGACTATGTATCAGTTGCAAAATACTGAGTTATCCTCAATGTTTTAGAGATTTATTAGAAATTCTATCTAAAAATTCTATAAACGAATTTGTGTTACAAGACTTCACCAACTCTTGTTGACTTTCTGCTTTTCTCCTTTCTATAAAACCAGAACTTTCAAACTTAAAGAAGTTGTCTGGATTGGCTCCTCCACACCTCATCCCTCATATGTCTAGGACTCACAAATAAATAAAAACTAAAAAGTTTGTTTTTATACTCTATATCCTGCATATTATAATATTTTAATCAAGTTCTTTCATTATTTTCACTCTTAGGAGTAATATTCAGTTTTAGTATCTTTTCATATGTCAGCTATCCTTATACTGTTAATGGTTTTAAACTTCCTTATATAAATCCTCTTGAGTCCCATTGCATTTATCTTATTGTTTAAAATATAATTGCTTTATAGGCTCTTTAGGTTTGTTTGCTGTTGTTAGCAACTTTCCTTCATTTAAACAGAATAGAAAATGCCTGCATAGCAACACAAATATGATAATGAAGACAAGAGTCCCTACTTCAATCAGAATAGGTTTTGAATAATTCTGGAAATAAAAAATTATTGCTTAGATTTTGTATGTGGTTTATTGTTGCTGTTTAATCCAATAGGATATATGCAGAAGCATGCTGGGGAAATGAAAGTTATCTAGAAACTGTAAAGTTTGGACCGCTCCCTTAGGAATACAAATCCAGGAGATGTAATCTTTGCAAAATATGTTCAAATACAGTAACTAATGGCATGTAATTCTAGCTTTAGAATATACACTCTACTTTAAGTCCAACCCATGTCTGATAAGGTAGGTGGATTTTATTTTCTTCTGCTATACTGGAAAGTAAACACCTGATATGTTTCAAGACTTGACAGAAAAAATTATTCTCCTGCTTTACATAGAAGAGCTGTCTGTTAAAGATTTACCCATGAGATGGTGATGCCACAGTTTTAATACCGAGGAGAATTTGGTGCATATCAAATGATAACACTACCATTTTTCTTTCGCAGGAGCAGGAGAATCTGGAAAAAGTACTATCGTTAAACAAATGAAGTAAGTATATAGGATTTTTAATGTTTAATATTTAATATTTATATATCTAATTTGATCATTCTTAAAATAAATGCCTCTGGGAAATGTGACTAATAGTCTAAACCTGTGATTTTTAATCTGGTGTGCCATAAGAATTGTTTTTTTAATCCTTAGCCAAGGACATTTTTTTATTGCTGATAAGAGAAAGAGGAAGGGAGGAGAGAGAGAGTAACATCAACGTGACAGAGAAACATCAATTGGTTGCCTTTCCTATGCACCACAAATTAGGTGTGTGCCCTGACCTGGAAACAAACCCTCAACCTTTTAGTGCAAGCAGTGGTGTCCAACCTTTTGGTGTCTCTGGACCACACTGGAGGAAGAAGAGTTATCTTGGATCACATCTTAAATATGTTGTGACACATAACTACAAAAATTCTCATAACATTTTAAATAAATCTATGATTTTTCATCAGGCTACATCCATAGACATACATCCTGGGATGCAAGTGGCCCATGGGCCACAGGCTGGATACCCCTGGGCCACGATGACACTCCAACTGACCAAGAAACCAGGCCAGGGCACAAGAACTTTTAAAACATGCAACACCTGACTATTTAGTCAGGAGTATTGACCTATTTTTCCCTTAGATTGTCACATTTAAAAAATGACAACTGCCAACACAATAGCTGTCCAATGTGAATGCCCTGTGTTGAACCGTAAGTACAAGATGGGGCAAAAGAAGATTTACAGTTGTTAGTATATGAAGCACAGTTTATTCTTGTATTTTCATTTATTAATTATTATGTTATTTCCATATGAATAACTGTGAACCTACTTTTGCCCCACCCTGTATATAGGTCCTCTACCTAGTAAAGTTGCATCTTATTGGTCACATCAAACAATTAGATTACATCTGATTGGTTAATTCCTAGTACCAGAAATTCTTGCACACAAGTAAAGGCACATTATTTTTTTAAAGTTACTTTGGAACAAAAACAGTGGCCAATTACTACCATTTTGGTAAACTAATAAACAGTATACATATTTTTCTGTCAGACCAGAAAATTATATATGTTTTTGGTGTGACCCAGAATTTTAACGATTAATTTATGTGCACCATGAAATAAGAGGGTTAAAAAAATTGCTGATCTAAATCACACAGAGGAGTAGAGTTGCCACAATTTCTATGCAAACATTTCTCCTATCTTTTAGCAGAAAGCATAGAATATGAGAAATATGATCATTTTCACTTTAAAATTTTGCCTCTTTATAAGATAGATACTAAAAACAGTTATATTATAAATATATTGATCTAAGTATAAACAGAACTTTAACATTGTGGTCATAGGCCCTAACATTTTAGAATATGTCAATAAATGATCCATTTTGAATTTAGGACAAAATATTTGTAACCTGACTGGTATTTTGTCTGCCTCAGAATAAAATGCACATTTAAACTTGTGACTATCATGAATTTAAATTTATTCTTGCACTTATTTTCTCTAATTGTTTCTTTTTAGAGAATAAATAGACATGCATTTTCTAATGAGATAACACGAAAGTGCTAGAATTCCAGAATACAATTCCTAAGTGAATAAAATGGCAATTGATAAGTGGAAATAAATATGGCTCTATCGCCACTAGAGAATTTTGAAGGACAATTGTTGCTGAAGGAGGAGATGATAATCATTTTTGAGCTTATTTTTCACTGTATGGTCAAGGATCTTGTTCTTTGGCTCATATCATATGAGGGAATGATTCCAGTTAATGGTGAAATGGTCTATAATCTAAATCATAGCTTTTTTCTTCTTTCTAGGTAATGTCATTTGTGTTGCATATCAACCAATATTTAAACCCTACTTTTGAATTCTGTCACCTATATCTGTAACTATTCTCATTTTTAATAATCAAATTTTTAAATTTATTTATTTATTTATTTACTTTTAGAGAGAAGGGAAGGGAGGAAGAAAGAGAGAAAGAGAATCATCGATGTGCTAGAGATGCATCAGTTGGTTGCCTCTCACACCCCCCTAACTGGGAACCTGGCCCAAAACCCAGGCTTGTGCCCTGACTGGGAATCAAACTGGCAACACTTTGGTTTGCACACCAGCACTCAGTCCACTGAAAGACACCGGGCAGGGCTGTAACTAAATATTTTAACTCTTCTGTTTTTGAAGAACAAAACTCCTTTACCCAGATCACTGGTTGTATTGCTCTTGGGCTCTCAGTTCCATCTTTGCACCCAAGTCATCGCGTATTTTTCTACTGACATTACCACTGTGTTCACCTGTTCTTTTCTTTTCAGGTTATAATCATGCACAAATCCCTCTTATCCTTCTTATTTCTCCATTCTCTATTAGGTTAAATGACATAAGAAAAGAAATGACCAAATATTTGGCTACATAAAAATTAAAACTTTTTAACATATTAAATCATAAATAAAATTAAACAAAAAATTTGAAAAAATCTATAATAAATATGATAGATAAATTATTGAGCATAATAATATGTAAAGATCTATAGATTGTTAAGAAAAACAATAAGCTGCCCTATATATGCAAATGTGAAGATTACAAACAGTTCACAAAAGACAAAACTCACTTATCTATTAAATGTATATACTTTAGTTTAATCTCACTAATATAAAAATTAAAACAATAATGGTATGTTTCTCATCTTAATAGATTAACAAATAATAATATCAAAGTAATATTACCCAACAATGGTGATGTTTTGAGAAAATGAATATTTCTCATTACTACTTGTAAAATTATCTCAAAGCACGTTTATAAAAATAATTTTGGCAATTATGCACAGTAATCTGGTAAAATAATTATTAACCTTTTAAATATATTTTTAGAATTTTTAACAATAAAATAATTTAAATATGAAAATAAAATAGTACATATATGAAATATATGCACAGAGACTCACTTCCATCTTATTTGAAATATTAAAATACAAGACAGAATAAAATACCCTAAATTAAAATAAAACATAAGCAAATCAATTGTGAAATTATCAGATTATTCACCTTTAAGGTGCAATATTTTGCCTCCATCACAAGTTATATATATGTATATAAGAAAATTTTAATGGAAGAAAATACTGATGTTAACTGAAAAACCAAAATACAAAATTGCATAAATATCTTCATCTCAACTATGACAAAATAGATAATGTTTCTAAAAACAAAGAACATATACCAACGGTAGGATTTAAGGTTATATTGCATCTATACTTTGACTATTGCTGGGTTTTTTACACTATGTTCAATGAGCAAGTATTACTTCTATTAGTAAAAAAAAAAAAAAAGAAAGTGTTCTGGTTCTGCCCCATCTCTCCTTCCTTTTCTCAGAGTCACTAAGGAATCGATAATGCTAGCTCTCTCAACTCTTCCAATTCCATTTACTTTTCAACCATTTCCATTATTCTTGCCCCTAGTGTGTCACAGATTGCCCTTATAAATGTCAATTATAATCTCCTAATTGCCATTTTATGAAGGCTCATATATCTTTATTTTAATTCCATTTAACTTCGTTGGGCTTTTCTACCCTAACACTTTAGCCTGGTTTCTCAGAGAACTCTCTTCCCCAGTTCACCTCTTAATTCTGTATGCTTTAGTCCCTAATTCTTTGATTAAATCTTAAATGTTGCTGCCACTAATATACTAGGTCCTTTTCTCTGCTTACTCTATATCTTCATCAAATTAAAACTGGGGGAGTCCAATGATGTTTACTATCATCTTCAAGCAAACTGTCTAGAATATTTATTTCAAACTCAGACACTTTGTCGAAACGAGGAAAGTAGGTATTTCTACCCCTATATTCTATGTATAGGTCCAAATCAGAATAAGCAACACCCAATCCAAATAAAACTTATCATTTCCTTTTTGAGTTCACTGTACTACCTGCAGGTGCTGTTGCTATATGTTATCACACTGCACAAAAGTCAGACATGCTTTACTTTCCTATAATCCAGTGCTATCCAATAGCTACACCTAATATTAAGCATTTAACTGGGGTTACTGTGAGTAAGAAATTACATTTTTAATTTCTTTAAATTTTAACTGATGTGTCTAGTGGCTACTTTATTAGAAAGTAGAGTTCCAGTCTATATTTTGAGGGAAGAGCTTCTCATTCTCTTTATTGCATAACGTGATGTGTTACAGAAAATGCCAAGTAACAGCTTATTAATTTGAACAGAGCTAGGAATCAACTTGCAAGTAAAGAGCTCTACCTCCCAGAAATAATTTATGCCTAAAGTCCCTTAAACAAGTTGCTTAAAGTCCCTCTACAATTGGCCTTTTAAATTCTGCCTTTATTATTTTGCTTTACCATAGATGTTTCCCTACCCAATGGTGAAAAGAGGATTAGAACTTGTGCCAGGAAAAAGATCTAAATGCCCCCAAGTCTATTTGTAACTGGAATTTTGATGCAATACTGTAATCAATATACCCGTGTATAATGAGCACCCTTATTTTTCCTTCAAATATTTAGGCAAAAAAAGTGTGTGTTATACAAAATATGGTAATTAAAATTATTTTTCCCATTTTAATTTTTGGCAAAGAACTGAAATTTATTTAATAAACTTTTTTCTAATCTATCTGTAAAAACATTTCACTGCATTTTTCATAGCCTTTAATTGACTAATTTATTCTAAGTTATTTGTTTAATATAGAAAGATAAACATGGCTTTGTAGCATAAACACAACAATTATTGGCAATAAAATATTAAAATTAAAAAATAGATATAGGTACTGCCTTTACTCCTTTCACTGCAGAATCCTTTTACTTGAAGGTTTTAATATCTTGGGAAGTATTGTGTTCTTTTTTCTTCTAAGCTAAAATCTCTTTGTGCATGGATACAACACAGATCCTCAGTAATATGACATCCAAAACAATGCCTACTGAACACAAAGGATTTCAAAAGCAACAAAAAGCAATGAGCACATTACGCAATAAAGATAGAATAATTATCATATGCAAATATTTTAGTTTTTAATAGGTAAACCTTCTAATTTATTATTCTAAAACTATTAGTTAAAACATCTGAGCTCTGACTAAATGAGTGGAAGGAAAAGTTCAGCCAAATTAAACGCCTGGGGATTTCAACTTTGAGTACTCCGTGTCACGCACACAAATGGAATATTATGAGGAATTTAATGGCCGGTAGCCCTTAATTGCTTAAATTTTTAAAAAAACACCTTTGTTTCCTATATAAATAGAAAGCAGACACTCCTACTTTCTAGCATGTCTTAAGTGAGAGGAAAAGACATGAATTTTAGAGTAAATTACTTCTCTTCCTCTAGACATGTAAAAACTACACAGTTTTAGAACTACATACACAACTTTGTACTGGGAATCAGAAAATTTTTTTCTTGACAAGAAATAAACTTTCTAAGAAAAATGCTCATAATTTACCTGTTTTTAATAGTGGTTGATCTAGAGTAAATTCTAAACGCTTTTTGTATTTAGTGTGAGGAGTAAGTGGTGTTGGGGTTTGGGGGTGAAATGTGGACCATCTATAAATAGTGTCGACAATAAAAAAAAGGAAGAGATGGAAATGCACCAGACCAAAAATCCAAATGCTAAGGTTTACCGGTCCATTTCAGACACACATTGTTCTCAGCTGGTCTTACCGTTCCATTTCAGACACACATTGTTCTCAGCTGGTCTGATTTTTTTTTTAATTAAGTGAACAAGGACACAAGAAAAATATATTTTTATTTGTTTCTTTTCAACCTAAGCAATATTAAACTTCTAAAATTCAGTAAAGATAAAATAGCACATTAAACCCCAATGATAATAAAATTCTAAAAATGATAAATGTTTTTGGTTAATCCCTTCATAAAAATAAATGAATTAAAAATCTAAAAGCCATAAAATTGTTCAGATATAGCACATATGGACAAAATTCTTCCTTTTTAAACAAATATATACTGTAATTTTATTCAAGCAAGTTATTATTGATGTGTTTTTAATGTTACAAAATAACCAATTGTTCAACTCACAAAAGCATTTCATGTTTATGTTATAGGATCATCCATAAGAATGGTTACAGTGAGCAAGAATGCATGGAGTTCAAAGCAGTAGTTTACAGTAACACATTGCAATCCATCCTATCTATTGTGAAAGCCATGGCCACCCTTGGGATTGATTATGTCAATCCGAGCAGTGCAGTAAGTATGCAAATAATTACAGTTTTAGGTCCTATAATGGGGTTTGAGTAATAGAACAAGGCTTAATAAATTTGTAGCACTAAATCTATACCAAAATTTAGGAATATAAAATATGAATTTTGGAAACATTAATTTTATTTAGTGTAAGTTTTCCTATTTTCTTTTAAAGGAAACCTTTTTTTTGATTGTGTGCTATAATCTTATTTAATATTGACTGTTCCTAGGAGTCAAACTTAATGTAAAACAATATATTGCATTAGAGAAAAATAATGGTTATATTTGCTAAATATGAAAAAGTTTATTCCATAAAAATCAAACTGCAGTATCTCTACATTTATTTTCTTAGTTTAGTTGTGAGTTATTTCATGGAGATTTTTTAAAAATAAAAACACTACAATTTTTATTGTTTAATGATGATAACAAAGATGATGTGGCACAGGGAAACAATTACTTAATAAAGTATTTTTTAAAGAATTCAAATTATATGATTAATTAAAATGTTTCTATAATATACTCAAGTAGTCATAGTTTTGTTAATAAATAGCAACTGTTTCATTTTTCTTCTATTTTATGTTTTGCAATAAAATTATTTTGTGTTAAATATATTTAAAATGCACTTGCTTTAAAATAGTTTATGTGCAAGCATATAAAACTATCTTGTTGACAAATAAAACATATAGTACTATCCAAAGAACAATCATAGTTAGCCACATTAAAAAACAAGAGGAGTTGTGTACAATTCATAGTAAGAACTCAACCATTTCCTTATCCCCTTCCAGGAGCAGTTGGCTGCAACTAGATATTAATTGAACTGTTCCCAGATTAATTCTTAGATACTTTGTTATATAAAAATGAAAACTAGAGAGGCACAGTATGGCAAATATGGAGGAAAAAAGTGACATTTGTTCTTTTCTCTCTCACACTTGTAGTTTAAACCATGTAAATTATCATTGGAAGCCATTAGGAAGAAAAAGAAATATGATACTAAAGTTCTTTTTTTTTCCTTAAAGCACAGTTGATATACAAATTATATGATTTTAAGTATACAATGTACTCATCCAAAATTTGAATACCTTGTGAAGTGATTGGCACAATTTGTATAGTAACCATCCATCACGACACAAAGTTAACTTGATATTATGGATTATATTTCTTTTATTTATTTTTTATCATTTTCATTTTTTGATTTAATATTTATTGTATTTTTCCATTAACATTTAGTCTGCTTATACTGCCCCCCACTGCCCAGCAATCACACTATTGTCCATGTCCATGAGTCCTTTTTTATTTTTGTTCAACCTCCACCCACTCACTTCCTCCACCACTAGTGGCAACCTGATCTCCATTTATGAGTCTGTCCCCATTTCCCTTGTTAGTTCAGTCTGTTCATTAGATTTCACATATGAGTGAATCATATGGTATTTGTCTTTCTCTGACTGGTGTATTTCACTTAGCATAATGTTCTCCAGGTTCATCCATACCATTGCAAATGGTAAAATCTTTTTATATAGTCGAGTGGTATTTCATGATGTCAATGCCTCATAGATGTATTATCCACTCATCTACTGATGGTCACTTGGACTACTTCCATATTTTAGCAATTGCAAATAACACTGCAATGAATATAGGGATGCTTATGTTCTTTTGAATTAGTGTTTTCTTTTTTTTTTTCAAATAAATTTCCAGACATCTGACTATTCAATGTAGCATAATATCCTCTAGGTCCACCAATAGTGTTTCAAATGGTAACAAGTGGAATCTCTGGGTCATAAGGCAGCACCATTTTTAATTTTTGAGGTATCTCCATACTGCTTTCCACGGTGGCTGCACCAATCTGCATTCTCACCAACAGTGCAACAGGATTCGCCTCTCTCCACAGTATTGCCAACACTTGTTTATTTACGATAGCCATTGTGACAGGTGTGAAGTGATTTTCCATTGTTGTTTTAATTTGCGTTTCTCTGATGATTAGTGATGTTGAGCATTTTTTCACATGTCTATTGGTCATGTGTATGTTTCGTTTGAAGGTGTCTATTCAAGTCCTTGGTGATTTTTTAATTGGATTGTTTGTGTTTTTTTGGTGTTGAGTCTTATAAGTTCTTTATAAATTTAGGATATTAACCCTTTACCAGATGTATCAGCAAACATGTTCTCCCATTCTGTGGGTTGTCTTTTTATTCTGTTGATGATTTCCTTGGCCATGCAAAAACTTTATAGTTTGATATAGTCCCATTTGTTTAAATTTTCTTTTGTTTCCCTTGCCTGGAGAGGTATATCCAATAAAATATTGTTATAAGTCAGTCCAAGTTTTTGCCACCTATGTTTTCTTCTATGATTATTATGGTTTTAGGTCTACATTTAAGTCCTTAATCCACTTTGAACTTATTCTTTTGTGTGGTATAAGAAGGTGGTCTAGTTTTATTTTCTCCATGTGTCTAATTTTCCCAACACCATTTACTGAATAAACTAATGAGCCCATTGTATACTCTTTCTTCCTCTGTCGAACATTAGTTGACTATAAAGGTGTGAGCTTATTTCTGGGCTCTTTAGTCTACTCCATTGATCTATGTGTCTGTTTTTATGACAGCACCATGTTGTTTTGATTACTATGGCTTTATAGTATAGTTTGATATTGGGTAGCATGATTCCTTCAACCTTTTTCTTCTTTCTCAGGATCGCTGTTGCTATGTGGGGCCTTTTGTGGTGCCATATAAGTTTTTGAAATATTTGTTTTAGTTCTGTGAAATACATCATTGGAATCTTGATAGAAATTGCATTGAATCTATAGATTGTTTTGGGTATAATGGATATTTTTAATGATGTTAATTCTTCCTATCCAGAAACACTGTATGTGCTCCCACTTTTTTATATCTTCTTCTATTTCTTTCTTCAGTGACTTATAATTTTCCAGGTACAGGTCTTTTACATCCTTAGTTAGGTTTATTCCTAGGTATTTTATTCTTTTTGTAGCAACTGTAAATGAGATTGTTTTTGTAATTTCCCCTTCTATTCATTATTGGCATATAAAAATGCAATTGATTTATTGTTATTAATTTTTTATCCTTCTAGTTTGCTGAATTCATTTATTAGTTCTAGTAGTTCCTTGGTCAAATCTTTGGGGTTCCTTATGTACTGTATCATGTTATCTGCAAGTAATGACAGTTTTACTTCTTTTCCAATCTGGATGCCTTTTATTTCTTCCTATCTGATTGTTGTGGCTAGGACTTCCAGTACTATGCTGAGTAAGTGAGAGAGATGAAAGTGGACCTCCCTGTCTTTTTCTCGATTTTAAGGGGAATGCTTGTAGTTTTTGCCCATTGCATATGATGCTGGCAGTGGATTTGTCATGTATGGCCTTTATTATGTTTAGTTATGTCTCCTCTAATCTGACTTTGCTGAGAGTTTTTATCATAAATGGGTACTGGACTTTATCAATTGCATCTATTGATATGATCAGGCAGTTTTTATCCTTCATTTTGTGTATGTAGAACATCACATTTATTGATTTGTGAATGTTGTACCAACCTTGCACACCTGGAATAAATCCCACTTGATCATAGTGTATGATCTTTTTGATGCATTGTTGTATTCAGTTTGCTAATATTTTGTTGAAGATTTTCACATCTATGTTCATCAGAGATATTGACCTATAATTTTCTTTCTTTGTAGAGTCTTTATCTAGCTTTGAAATTAGGATAATGCTGGCCTCATAAAATTTGGGAGCCTTCCCTCCTTTTTAATTTTGTGAAGCAGTTTTGAGAAGGAGAGGTGTTAGTTCTTCTCAGAATGTTTGATAAAATTCACCTGTGCAGCCATCCAGTCCAGGGCTGTTGTTTACTGGGAGTGTTTTTATTATTGCTGTACATCACATCTCTTTGATTTATTTATTTCATAACTGGAAGTTTGTACCTTTTTGTCTACTTCACTTTTTTTACTCCTCCCCACATAAAAATGAATTCATAGGCTATTTGTCTTTCTCTGACTTATTCTATGTAGCATAATACCCTCTAGGTCCACCAATATTGTTTCAAATGGTAAGGTTTCATTCTTTTTTTGTGGCTGAGTAGTATTCTATTATTTGTATATATGTGTGTATGTGTTTATAGATAAAGAGACAGATAGATATGTGTATATATATAAATTATATATATAATTTATGCAGATGTGAAGATTTCTATATAATATATAATATTATATATTATATATAAATTATATATTATATATATAATTTATATATATACACATATCTGTCTCTTTATATATATATGTCTCTTTATATATATAATTTATATATATATATATAAATTTTTATCCATTCTTCTACCTATGGATACTTATGTTGCTTCCATATCTTGGCTATTTTGAATAGCCAAGAACACTGCAGTGAACATAAAGATCCATATATCTTTTTGAATTAGTGTTTTGTTTTCTTCTGATAGCTACCCAGAAGTGGAATTGCTGGATTATACAGTAGTTCAATTTTTATTTTTTTGAGGAAACTCATGCTGATAATTTTAAAGGAAATGGTAACTTTCATTTAGTTCTGCCACTTTTCGACAAAGAGCATGAAGATGTCCTAGGGCACGTAGTTTGTAAACCAGTTCTGCTCGGCTCTCCTTCCATTTTTAGCTTCACCCCATTTGATTCCAGTAAATAACACTTTTCTAGCTCATACTTTTTTCTCTCACATGGAAAAAGAGGAACTTATAAGAAATGAACTCCACTATCCTTTCATTTTTTTATCATTCTATTATGTTTTTATTCCCAGGGAGTTCATATGATCATGTTTTTATTCACGGGTAGTTCGTTTATCACTCTGACCCTAGCATTTCCTTTGAACCTAGGATTTTAAACTGGCCCTTAAAAAACCACCTGGTATAACCCCTTTCCTTAAAGAAGTGAAAAATAAGTGCCACAAAAGATTAGCAATTTGGCCTCCTTTAAATTGCGGCAGTTTAGAGCAAAACCCACTTTTCCCAGTACTTCATTAGAGTACTTCT